TCTTGATATGCTGGGGGAATATCCCTTGATATCCCTTCTCTGAGAAATAGATAAGGGTGGGTAGGGGAAACAGGGAAGGAAGGTGGAACCAGAAGGAGAGGAGGGAGAGAACTATGACTGGGACGTGAAATGAATAAATTAAAATTAAAATAAAAAAAGAATTAAGTGTAACAATGACAAGTGAAAACTAATAAAACTTAAAAAAAAAAGCTGCTTTACTGCAAGGAAACTCTCAATTGAATGAAAAGGAATTCCAGAGAGTAGGAGAGAACCTTTGTAAGCTATACATCTGACAGAGAATTAACATCAGAATATATATAAAGCACTTAGAAAACATGGCTTTTAAACAATGGGCTATATATCTGAATAGTTTTCAATAGGAGAAATAGAAATGGTTATCAAATATCTCAAAAAGATATCCATTATTCTTAGCAATTATGGAGATAAAAAATTAAAATAACTTTGAGATTTCATTTCACCCAAGTAAGAAAGTCTAAGATCAGCAAAACAGTCAACAAACTAGTGGTAGAGACAATTTGAGGAAAGGGAAATTCTCATTCACTGTGGTTTGGATTGCAAGCTGGTACAGACATTATTGAAATCAATGTGGAGAATTTTCAAAGGCTAAAAATAAATCTACCCTATGATCCAGACTACCACTCCTTGGCATATACCCAAAGAATTTGATACTTCACAGATACTTGCTAAGACATGCTCATTGCCACTCTATTCATAATAGATAGAAACTAGAAGCAACTCTTTTAGTGCCCTTCAACTGATGAATGAATAATGAAAATGTGATACATATATAGACTATGTGATACTCTTCATATGTAAAAAACAAAATTATATCTGCAGGTAAATGATGGAGCTATAAAATATTATACTGAGTGGAGTTTCTTAGATCCAGAAAGCCAAATGCCACATATTTTCTTTTATCCTTCACTTTGAAATCTTCATATAGGAGTACATAAGCTGAAACAAACACAGAAACCAAGAAGGTAAAAATGGATCATTGGATAAAGGTGGTGCTGAAGAGGGGAATAGAAGGATTCAAGTCCTATGAAAGGAAAATAGGAGAAATATGAGTGAGGCAGGAGAAGGGAAACATACATTAAAGGACAGGGACTGAAGAGAGATAAGTAGCATTAAGAATGTTTGAAATTCCCATAATGAATAATATTTTATATTTTCTAAAAATACAAAAGTATATGTGATATCTAGATATAGATGGTGATAGACTAACAGACAAGGAGATAAACAAATAGACAGATAGATAGATAGATAGATAGATAGATAGATAGATAGATAGATAGATAGATAGATAGATAGACTTCCAGTGAATTTTTACTACTTGGAGTGAAAATGCTCCCCTCAAGAATTATAGATGAACCAAAAATCCCATTACTAGAAATGGGAAAATCTTTTTTGAGTTGTTGGCCAGGGATGTCCAAGAGACTCCCCAGACAATATCTGCTGCCTTTGACTGCCTCCCAGAAATTGAAGGTAAGTTCCTATTTCTGACACTGTGCACTTAAAACACAAGACTTGAGAGAGTCAAGCTGAATATGACACAAAATCTCTTCCCTGAGGACTGGCTTTCTAATACAATCTACCAAGGAAAGGAAGAAATCAATATCCCTACACAGCTGTGATGCCTACAAATATGAGCCACAACAGTGACTATGATAATGAGATATTCCTTAAGACACAAGTGTGGCACTCATAGCTGGTCATGGTGGCATACACCTTTAATTCCCAGCATTCAGGGAGGCAGAGGCAGGTGGATTGCTGTGTGTTTGAGTCCATCCTAGTCTACAAAGGCTACAGGACTGCCAAGACTCACAGAGACACAGAGAAACCCTGAGTGGCACTCTTGTCTTGGCAGTAACCAATGGGTGTCTAATTGGATTTAAGGTCTACCCAGCAGGAGGGAAATCATACCTGTCACTGTAAACCTAGCTAACTACCTGGGGCCAATAAGGTCATGAATAGAAAAGAACCTACTGCTGCCACCTTCATAAGCTACTATAATTTCTAAGTCTAAACACGTATCCATACACTCACAGATAGGTGTAGCTTTCACCCCTCATTAAAGAAGCTTCTCTTTGTAGCAGAGAAGAACATTAATGAAAGCTACAAGTGGTCAAAACACAGAGAACAAGTGATCATGTAGTTCTCAGCACCAATTGATACATCAATAACACAATCTCTATACCTATGGCTGAGTGGAACATTTTCAAGAGCGGTGTAAAGATTTCAAGAGCAAGCAGACTGGAAAATCTGCTGTGCTATAATCTCTCCTAAAAATGAGAGGAAAGCTACACCCATCATGCCCTAACCATATGACTGCCTAAATAAGACATAAAGAATGGTAACACCAGCAGATATGTTAATATGGAAGGGGAAAATTCCACAGTGTCCTGTTCCTACAGGCAGGTAACAAATACTGAGACAGAACTAGTCATCTAATGGGATGAGCCCCCGGTCACTTATCTAAAGCAATGTGGTAGGCCTACCAATCATATATATCCAAGAACATTAAACATACTCTCCATGTTGTATTTATACATTTATGCATATCTGTGTAATAATGATAATTAAAGTAAAAGAAGCAATGGATTTAAGAAGGAGCAAGCAAGGGGGACATGGCAGGAGATGAAGTGAAGATTTCGTGAAAAATTACACAACTAAGTATTAATTGAACACAAAAAGAAAGCCTAGGTGAGGGTTTTTTATAGTGATGGTTCCTATGAAAGTTAAAGGGTCAATGTACCTAGAGTATGTTATAAAAGAACACCGTTTATAAAGATAAGAGCAGATGTTGTGCCAGGAGCTGTCAGGAAAGCATGGCATTGCTGTTGCTAATGGTTACAGTGGCACTGGATATTTTCAACACCAGTAGGAAAAAAACATGACAGGTGGAAGATAGTTTGGAGATTTCAAGCATTGGTTACTGGGAGGAAAGGAAGGATATTACATTTCAGAGAAATATAAAATCTGGGTAAAAGCTATGAACCTAGTTTTGGATGAATTTGTCAAGCTGCAGAAGAAGAAAGTCTCTACTGCAATACCCTTTGCTCTCTAAGATACACGCGCACAGATTTAGGAAACATACCTGCAGGGTTGTTTGTATTTCCCAGTCCATTTAGAAACAGATCCTGACAATGTAGAATGTTTTCACAAGAAAGGCCCAGGCACTGAGGGGTGGAAGGAACTACCTTGCTGTGTAGGAGAAGAACAGTGAAAGTTCAAGAGAAGCAAAGCCTTGTGTGGGTAAGCAAAGGCATAATCTATAAATATTGGAAGAGACCTAATGAAAACAAAGTACTTACTTTTAAGTGGCAAAATAATACAATGTAACATAAAGCTCTAACATAAACTGTTGCAGTACTCTCCCAACAACATTCTTTATTGATTCCTTTTTCTTTTGTTACCTCTGCTGGATAATAATGTGTGATGGTTAATGCTGGATTTCAATTTTACAGCGTTTAAAATCAGCAGAGACAAGCCTCTGGGTCTGTTTGTGAAGAATTTTCTGAATTACGTTAGCTGAAATGAGAATACTCATCTTAACGTGATTGGCAACCTTCTATGGTTTGGGGTTCTATTCTTATTATTGCTTTTTTTTTTCATAAATTTGATCATGCTTTTTCCTCCCCCAACTCCATACCCACCCAACTCTGTGTTCTCTCTCTCTCTCCCTTTCTCTGTCTCTCTATCTGACATACACATGAAAGAAAGAAAGAAAGAAAGAAAGAAAGAAAGAAAGAAAGAAAGAAAGAAAGAAAGAAAGAAAGAAAGAAAGAACCCTATGGAGTTCATTTTGTGTTGCCCATTGCTCACTGAAGCCTGTCTGGAATGTGTATGATATACCCAATGTCACCCTTATTGATGAAAATGGCTTCTTGGTTAGTTATGGGACTCACTGTTCTCTGCTTCCTCTCAGTGATGGAAACCTGTCTGGATTCAGCCTGTCTCTGTGCTGCCATGGTCTCTGAGTTGATATGTGCATTAGTCTTGCTAAGTCTTCTGTACCCTTGAAGTCATCCACCTTTTCTGGACCTTACAGTCTTTCTGCCTCCACTTCCACATAGATCCCTGAGCCTTAAGGGGAGAGGTTTGATGAAGATATCCCATTTAGGACTGAGTGGTACAAAGTCTGTCATTTTGCCTCTCTGTCTGTCTCTGTGTTAATTACTGTCTACTATCAGAAGCTTCTTTGATAGAGTTGAGCAATGTCCTCATCTTTGGGTAAGGACTATGTCACTATGTCATTGGAGCTGTAAAAGTGAGACAGAAAACATAGCTGTCTTCTTGTTCTTTGTTCAGCATACTACACCTAGAAGCATGTGCATTTACGTGTGGTTCATTGAGAGTCATTCTTGATAATGTGGAGCTTCTTCAGAATAAAGAGAATAAAAAATAGAGTGACAAGTGATAGGCACATGTGAGAGTGTTAGGAATTTAGCTGGGAGAATGGTCATAACATTGGCCTCTAATTCCTCATTGCTACTGTTCAGTTTTGCCCCTTACCTCCAGAAGATACAGTGAAATGCTAGCTTCTATTGTCTCTGACAGTGACTTGTTTGTTTTATGCGCATGACTCTTTTTCCTGAATGGATTTTTGTTTATCACTTGCATGTCTGGTGCCTGAGAGGTCTAGAAGAGGGCACAGACCCTCTGGAACTGGAATCGCAGACAAGTGTAAGCTGCTGCCATGTGGGTGCTAGAAATCAAACCCAGGTCCCCTTGAAGAGCAGCTCGTGCTTTTAACCAGCGAGCCATCTCTCCAATCCCCAGGGCTGACCCTCTTTGGAAATGGGGTCACTGAAGATGTCATTTGTGAAGATGAAGTTACACTACACTCAGGTGAACCTGTAACCCCGTATGAATATGATGTTGTAAGATGACTGAGGAAAAATACAGACAGGGGAGGGTGTCGTGTGACTTCCAAGGCAGAGATTGGATCTAAACAGGGAAAGTTTCCAGATTCAGCCATGATTGCCATTCAACCACAAGAAGTTAGGAAGAAGCAAGGAAGAGCTTTAATATGGGACTGGGGTGCTAGCAGAACTAACTTCGTGTTAAACAGTATGTTAGGTCTAAGTTGCACATTTTAGCATACATCAAGAAGTACCAGAAATATTATATGATTTCAATTTCCTTATCCAAACCATAATAATACATTTCAATTGTTAGGATATGTGTGTGTTTCAAGTATTTATGTGAAATAACTTATCTGGCAGTATCACCTACAAATGAAAACATTGTAGTATGTCCTAATTACGGCCACCTGATCTTCTGGCTCTCACCTGGCTGCAGCTAGATGATCATGTGAAGTAGTCAAAGATGAAATCTTCCAAAATATAAATATTTTATCAAATTACATATTGAGAGCGGGTGGCCAATTTTAGCCTCAGAACTAATGAAAGTATTTTGCCAAGATATGAAACTCCTAATGGTGGATGGTGCTCAAAAATTAGCTCTTGCTCAGGTACCTAAATTTAACAGAAGGTGATTTTATTTCCTAGCTGCTAATTAAGGTTACCAGTCATGGCATCATTTTCATGACAGCTCTAACCGGCTAATGATACCCTGGAAACAATCATCATTTCATTTACTGGAATTCATTTGTAGATGAGGCCACTAATACTGTGTGCATGCATAGGTTCTGAAGATGGTAGGTTTGTTTGTTTGTTTGTTTGTTTACTTATTTACTTATTTTTCCAGGCAGGGTTTCTCTGTGTAGCCTTGACTGTCCTAGACTCACACTGCAGAACATGCTGTTCTAAAACTCACAGCGATCTGCCTGCTTCTCCCTCTCTGAATGCTGGGGTTAAAGGTGTGTGCCACCACACCCGGCTTGAAAATGGTGGTTTTGAAATTTGTATATGCCACACAGATGGAGGGCACAGAAGATAGTAACTTGATATTCTTCCAGTAAAAAGCAGCTGACTGGGCTAGCACAACCTTAAACAGGGAAGGTTCCACAAAGCAGTGAAGAGGCCATCCAGGTTTGATTTGAGGGTGATGTTCAGAGTCCATCAAGAATAATAAAAAGGAGAGAATTGGAGGCTAAAATTTAAATATGCTCTATCACAACCTCTTCATTTTTAAAAATCAAAGGGGATCTAAGTGGTGAAAGAGAACACGTGTCACTTGGAATTTATTAATTTTATACTTTGTGAGTTCTTAGGTCCAACTCTCAATTAATGTCACACATGAAGCATGACTGATAATGTCTTCCAATAAGATTTGTCCAAATAGAACAATGTAAATACGTGAACTGTTTGGCTAAGTATTTGGCAAAAGTAGGTGTTGGGTAATGGCTGGACGGTAGGAGGTTGTTTTGTTGGTTTGTTTTTGTTTGTCTCTCCCACAGTTAAGATTTTCCTCTGTTGGTTGTCCATAATGCAGATTTGTGGGAAGACATGGGTCAGGGGGGCATGAATGAGGCAATCACAACAGTTCTTTGAAGATTACTAAATTTGAATTCTCATTCAACTCTGAACTCATCAACTATTTTAATTTTGGCAGAGTTTCACTATGTGGTCCTGACTGACTAGGAATGTACTATGTAAATCAGGCTAGTCTTGAACTCAGAGAGATCTGCCTGCCTCTGCCTCTGCCTCTGCCTCTGCCTCCTGAGGCTAAAATTAAAGACATACGCCTCTGAGAGGCTCCAGCCCTCAATGGATAATGGATCAAAACAGATACTAAGACTCACAGCCAAACATTGGGTGGAATGCAGGGAGCCTTTTGGAAGAGTGGGTGGGTAAGGATAGAAGGACTTGGAGGGGACAGAAACTTCACAAGAAGACCAAGAGAGCCAACTAACCTGGGCTCAGGGATGTTCGCAGAAACTGAAGCACCAGCAAGGACCATGCCTAGACTGGACCTAGGCCCCCTCTGCATATGTGCCCAATGGGTAACTTGGTCTTCATGTGGGTTCCCTAGTAAGGAAAGTGGGGGCTGTCTCTGACAAAGACTCTGCTGCATGATGTTTGATCACTTCCCCCTGTGGAGGCTACCTTGACAGACCACTGAGAAAGAGAATGCACTCAGTCCTGATGTGACTTGATATGCTGGTATGGGTTGGGGGGGACTTTATTCTTTTGAGGGGGAGGGGGACGAGAGAGGGGAGAAGGAGAGAGGGTGGGAACTGGAGGAGAGGAGGGAGGGGACTAAGATTGGAATGTAAAGAGAATAAATAAATTATTTTTTTAAAAAGTCATGTGCTACTATGCCCAGCCCAGCAACTATTTCTTGATGTTTTTCTACCCACTGAGCACAGAAGGAACCGAAAGATCAATCAGAAGCTGCCCTTCAACTTGACATGCAACTCAAGAGAAAAACAGCACGTCCCTTACGAATAGGAAATACTAGTGTCTGGTCAATGAACTCATTTTAAGCACACAGTCCAAAGTTCCAGAGATTAACAGACAGAAGGAGAACAGCACAGCTTTAAACTCTCTCCTTTACAAGACACTTGTGTGTGGGCTTGTAGGAGTGTTAACATTCTCTTGGCTTTCCTCCTTGCTGCCTCGTCCCTTCGTTTATCCCCCATGTCTTTCTCTTTCTCTCCCAGTCTGTGTGGCAGTCTGGAAAAACCACCACATGAGGACAGTCACCAACTACTTCATAGTCAACCTTTCCCTGGCAGATGTGCTTGTGACCATCACCTGCCTTCCAGCCACCCTCGTTGTCGACATCACTGAGACCTGGTTCTTTGGACAGCCCCTCTGTAAAGTCATCCCTTATTTACAGGTAACTTTTTTTTTGGGGGGGGGGGGCTTTTAGAACTAATTTTTAAAATGTTTCCGATTTTAGCCACGCCTGTCTGGTAAAATGGTTAATGAGTTAAGAAATAAATATAGATATTCAGAAAGTGAAGACCTTAAGGACGATAATGCTTGTGATTTACTGAATAAACAAGTTCATGCCTAGATAAAATGGAGGCAGCAATGCTGTTAATTATTTCACAGTTCTCGTCATTAAGTAAGTAATTTGAACGAACTAATGATCAAGCCATTCCTCGCTCAAATAACCGTGCACATTTGTTTTCCAATAATCAGGATTACCAGCTTTTCTTAGTGATTTCTTTTCATCCTGAGAAATAAAGAGGTATGTGGTCAGAGATGGGTAAGTTTGGGAATCAGGTCTGGTTTCGAATGTCTGTTCTGCCATCTCTTGATGGTATGCTATCAAGTAAAATACATAGACTCTTGGCAATTCACTTAGTTAAAATGTTAATTTTAATAAGATCTACCTTGTATAGCTGTTGTGACAGATTATTTAGGCCATTTACATAAGTCCCTTGGCTCTGTGATTACCTCATCCTGATCTTATAAGGCAGGAATACAGAGTAAGAATCAATTATCATAGAAGCCTCAGTGGCAAAGAGTGAGTGCAGCCTTTCTGCATCTGTTTGTCAAATAAAACAACTGAAAACAAATACTTTTAAAAGAATGATTTTTTGATTGTATTTATAAACGTAAAGTCTTTGATAAAAAGATTCCTGATAATGACCATGGCAATACACACCCAAAAGCTGTGCTCCACTTAGGAAGTATTCAGTGAAGGAAAAACAGACTGTGTTCCCCTTAGGAAGCAGATACTGAAAGAAAGATCAGGAGGTCCCTCTGTTCATCCCACAGTCTCCATCTACCTTGCTCTTATTCCCTGTACCTTCCTAGGTAGTGATCACAATGTTTGCAAGAAGAGATAATAAGCTTAACATTTAAAAAAAAATGAAAGAGCTCACACAAAAAAAAAAACATTACTAGAAATTATTTAATTCCAAAATGTTAGACTTTAAAAAAAAATTCAACAGCACCTCAAGAGTCTCTTATAAAGAGAAGTAATGTTTTTTTTAATTTTTTATTTAACTTTTATTAATTACACTTTATTCATTTTGTATCCCCCCATAAGCCCCTCCCTCCTCCCCTCCCGGTCCCAACCCCCCCTTCTGCATGCATGCCCCTCCCCAAGTCCACTGATAGGGGAGGTCTTCGTCTCCTTTCTGATCTTAGTCTACCAGTTCTCATCTGAAGTAGCTGCATTGTCAGGGTTCTAGGTTATTTCCATGAATACTCCTTGGTTGGAGTATGAGTCTCTGGGAAGTTCTCTGTGTTCAAATTTTATTGTTCTGTTCCTGTCCTTGTGGAGTTCCTGTGCTCTCCAGCTCTTACTATTTCCCACTTCTTACATAAAATTAAGTAATGTTTTTAAACAGCAGACATCATTTATATGTGTGATTCCTTAGAAATTATAAGCTACATACATACATTACATTTAATTTCAAAGTTGGTGGGCTAACCTGCTGAGAACTATCAATAGATTATAAAACAAACTATAAGAAAAATTATGGAGAAAGAGTAACATGAACAACCGAAAAGAACCACCTCATAGGAAAAAATAAATCAGTAAGAATGCATGGCTATGGCTGAATGTGCACACAGAAACTAGACCAAAAAAATCAAAAGCAGCAGAAAACTCTTAACATCTGAGTATCTTCCTGTTATTTCCAGTAAACTGTGTTTCTCTCAGCTGCACTAATCATCCAAGAAGAAATGTCAGTTCCCCTTGGTCTCAGGGTATTTTGAACTGCCCAGATGCTCTGTTGCCTGACGACCTTCATAATATCTGTCTTGAGAACCAGATGTTTTGGTAGAAAGGATAATGAAATGAGGAAATATCACCTGTGCCAGGAGTGTGTCTTCTGGGGGCTTTGATGTGATGACAGCTTGCTGTGGCATGCCCCTTCCACATCTCCAGGGAGCCTGAAACAAAAGACAGGAAGTAGCATGAACAGCAAGGGATGCGGGCATGGAACGTTCCTGAAGTAACTGGCATTGCTTTCCCGTGTAGCAGCACTTACAAGCAGGTTCTAAATGTCAAGAGACAAAGGAAGATTTTGGCTCCTGCATAAACAGTGTCCAGTTTGTCCATCTCCCTGAGAGAAAAAACAGTGTGCAGTCACAGACTGGAAACAAACTGTACCTGAACTCACTCAACTAGACCTGTTGTTCAGAGCATACAAGTGTACCAAGAAATCCTCGTGCTGGCAAAACCAGCATCTCCAAATTGTCCTTTTCCTTGGATTTCAGGGACATAGCAACAACGCTTTCATTTCAAGTCCAGTCATTTTTCTCCTAGTTGCCACAACTTAAAACTAATTGCTTTAATCCTAAATAGTTCTGTATGTGTGTATATAATACATTTTCAATATAGCCAAGCAATACAGGAGTATTTAGCTAAATTTGGCTTTTAATAATTTGATATGATTTACATATTCTTTTTCCTCTAAAACAATATAACGTAGATTTATAAGTGATATTCTATAATTCGTTGGCAAATTCCTAAGTTACTGAAGAATCTTACATATGTAATAAGTTTAGCTGAATAATTAAATATCCCCCTTGATCATTAATAATTTGTAATTCCATGACTAATAACACCTCTCCTTGGTGAGCAATCATCATTTACTTTATTTGCTAATACTGACAGGGGTAATTACCTCTCTTTTAGTAACTTTCATAAGATATAATCTTTTCAGAAGAGGCCCTTCTCAGAAAATGGCAGGAAAAGAAGTACAGAACTAATGAGATGAGGGTAACTGGTACTGGATGGGCACAGAGGCCCTTCTGTTTGCCCCAGGTATATCTTGCCACCTTCGGAGCCATTAGGCCCTATCACACACACTCATGCCTACTCACATGTCTGTGAGATCTTTTTGAAACATGTATATGTAATTTAAAACTAGCTTTACCTTCTGAATAAAATACTTAGAATACTTGTGAAGGACTAAGTACCTGAAGGCAGAAGGCTGTGTTGCTCTCTTTGCTGTACATACCTTGACAAACTATACTGGGCTGATTCTGATAATGAAAGCTGTTGAATCTGACTGTAAAAGCCACTGAACAGACCTTTGTCAATGAAATACTCATTTTAACTTCTATATCGGTAGACATCTTAAAATAAGAAGATTTTCATCTTCTATTCTGGAGTCTGAAGTTCTAGATTATTCAAGAAAGACTACTTTTATATTTCCCAAGAATATCTTACAAAGTGGATGTTAATTATACACTATTTGTATGCAATATATTAAAAATAAATTGGAATGAAGTACCTTTTGTTATGTAAAAATACAAAACAAGATATCCATGACTTATTTATGCCAATAAAATGTAACCAGTAAAAACCTACATGATAATTTAAAACACAATGCTATGTCATTCTCTTTGACTGGAAGAAAATTTTCAGTTTCAGATGAAACTCATGTATACTTTCTTTCTCTTTGGGAATACTATTTGAACTATCAGCAAAAAGGCTACAAAAGAAAGTAAAGACAGCAACTATTCAAACATTGTAAAGTAAATATTTAGTGTGAGAAAACTGCAAGGTTTCAAAATGCCTGCTTCATACCTATAGGGAAATACAATGTTTCTTGATGCACTTCTACCTTGCTATTTTTATCTTCTCTTTTCTTAACATGAAAGTCATTTACAGGAATTAATACACGGAGCAGGTTACCCTAACGGAATTTGCCTTTTCTGCTGATATGGCAAATATTCTCACCTTACCTTTCCAACACCTAGCAATTCTCTTGAATCATGTTCCTTTCTTCCCCCTCTAGACTGTGTCAGTATCTGTGTCTGTTCTTACATTGAGCTGCATTGCCTTGGACCGATGGTACGCCATTTGTCACCCTTTGATGTTCAAGAGCACAGCCAAGCGGGCTAGGAACAGCATCGTCATCATCTGGATTGTTTCCTGCATCATAATGATTCCTCAAGCCATTGTCATGGAGTGCAGCAGCATGCTCCCTGGCTTGGCCAACAAAACCACCCTCTTTACAGTGTGTGATGAGCGCTGGGGCGGTAAGTAGGTTGCGTCCACGTGCTCACAAACGGCACAGTACCCACAATGTTGGATTAGCATCAATATTGCTGCATTGGGTTTGAATACTTTACTAGCATTTGTCAAAAGAGCTCAGCAATGGGGTAAACATAAACTTGAAATGAACTTGAAACACAGCAAAATTTTCATAAATAACTCACGTCTTTTGAAGGTATTTTATGTGCAATTTTTAATTTTCATATTTTTTCAATGGGAAAGGGAGCTCCCTTTCCCATCCTGCCCAGCTCATTAAGTTGCATCAGGACTGAGTATGTTCTCTTCCTCTGTGGCCTGGTAAGGCAGTCCCGCCAGGAGGAAGTGTTCAAAAAGCAAGCAAGTGAGTCTGTGTCCCATACAGTCTCCAGTACTAAAGGATCCACATGAAGCTTAAGTTGTTCATCTGAGCAGCTTTGTAGGGGGCCTAGGTCCAGTTCATGCATGGTCCTTGGTGAATGCTTCAGTCTCAGCAAACCCCTCTGGGCCCTGGTTAATTGGCCCTGTTGGTCTTCTTGTGAAGTTCCTGTCACCTCCAAGTCTTTTTGCCTTTTTTAAAACAAATCAATAGCTAGTCAATGAAACAAATCAAATTATAAATTAAAAGTTTCTGTATCCATTCCTCTGTTGATGGACATCTGGGTTGTTTCCAGGTTCTGGCTATTACAAATAAAGCTGCTACAAACATGGTTGAGCAAATGTCCTTGTTGTGTACTTGAGCAAATTTTGGGTATATACCTAGCAGTGGTATAGCTGGGTCTTGAGGAAGCACTATTCCTAATTGTCTGAGAAAGCGCCAGATTGATTTCCAGAGTAGTTGTACCAGTTTACATTCCCACCAGCAGTGGAAGAGGGTTCCCCTTTCTCCACAACCTCTCCAGCATGTGTTGTCTCTTGAGTTTTTCATCTTGGCCATTCTGATGGGTGGAAGGTGAAATCTCAGGGTCGTTTTGATTTGCATTTCCCTAATGGCTAATGAAGTTGAGCATTCTTTAAGTGTTTCCCTGCCATTCGATATTCCTCTATAAACGAGAATTCTCTGTTTAGCTCTGTTTCCCATTTTTAAATTGGATTACTTGGTGTGTTGCTTTTCAGCTTCTTTAGTTCTTTATATGTACTGGATATTAGCCCTCTGTCAGATAAAGGGTTGGTGAAGATTCTTTCCCAATCTGAATACTACTCAGCAATCAAAAAGGAGGAAACCATGAAATTTGCAGGCAAATGTTGGATCTAGAAAAGATCATTCTGAGTGAAGTATCCCAGAAGGAGAAAGACAAACATGGTATATATCCACTTATATAGACCTACAATATATGATAAACATAATGAAATTTGTACACCTAAAGAAGATAAACAAAAAAGCAGACAAGGGGTAAGATGATCAATCCTCTCTTAGAAAGACAAATGGGATGTGCATTGGACATATGACAGGAGTCTACCGCAGAAGGCATCTGAAAGACTCTACCTAGCAGTGTTTCAAAAGAGATACTAAAACTCATAACCAAACCTTCAGCAGAAGGGGAGTTAGTATGACATGAAAAGGATAGGAGCTCCACAAGGACCAAATATATCTGGGCACAGGGGTCTTTTCTGAGACTGACACTCCACCAAGGACCATGTATGGATATAACCTAGAACCTTTGCTCAGATGAAGCCCATGGTAGCTCAGTAACCAATTGGTTTCCCATAGTAAGGGGAACAGGGACTATTTCTGACAGGAACTCAATGGTAGGCTCTTTGACCTCTCTACCCTCCAAGGGAGGAGCAGTCCTGCTAGGCCACAGAGGAGGACATTGCAGCCAGTCCTGAAGATACCTGATAAAACAGGGTCAGATGAAGGGGGAGGAGGTCCTCCCCAATCAGTAGACTTAGAAAGGGGCACGGTGGAGATGAGGGAGGGAGGGTGGGATTGGGAGGGAATAAGGGAGCAGGATACAGCTGGAATACAGAATTAATAAAATATAACTAATAATGAAAAAAATAATAAAATTAAATTTTAAAAAAAGGATCACACTAGATCAGAAAGAGAAAAATAAATTAAACTTTTATTGAAATCAATATAAAAGTTTTCTCAAAAAGCTAAATATAAAGATTATGTGTGAATAAGTTGTCCCACTCCTGAGCATAAACCTAAATGACTCTATTTTATTTTAGAGATATCCATGAATCTCTGTTTAGTGTTACATTATTCATAGTATTAAAGAAAGAGAATCAGCATAGACATCTATAAAAATATGGTACACATCACAATGGAATATTTTCCAAACACAAGGATAAAGAAAATATTCAGGAAAAAGGGATGGAGCTAAAAAATTAAAGTACATGGAGTGAGTGAGGGCCCAGAAAGGAAATGCTACATGTGTTCCCTTGTGTGTGTGTGTTAACATTTAATTTTTTAACACATGAATTTAAGTACAAATGAAGCAAGGTAAGACCCCAGGAAACAAGAAAGGGAGCCAGGAGAGAAGAAGAGAATTTATACTTTAAAAGGAAGGTTAAGAAGAGTAATAGAAACACACATATTTTAAAAGTGCAGATGTGGTACATCTACACAATTGAATATTACTCACCAATAAAAAACAAGGAAATCATGGTGGGAACTGGAAAAGATCATCCTGAAATAGCTATCCTAGAAGCAGAAAGACACACAGGGTATATGCTCACACATATAGACATATAATATAGGATAAACCTACTAAAATCTGTACACCTAAAGAAACTAATCAAGAGGGAGCACTCTGGCTAAAATGTTCAATCCCCATACTGAAAGGTAAAGAAGATGGACATCAGAAGAAGGAGAACACAGGAAACAAGTTAGAAGCCTGCCACAGAAGGCCTCTGAAAGGCTCTGCCCTGCAGGGTATCAAAGTACATGCTTAGACTTATGGCCAACCTTTGGGCAGAGTTTATGAAAGAAATGGGAAATAGTTAGATCTGGAGAGTACAGGAGCTCTACAAGGAGAGCAACAGAACCAAAAAATCTGAGCACAGGGGTCTTATCTGAGACTGATACTCCAACCAAGGACCATGCATGGAGATAACCTAGAACCCCTGCACAGATGTAGTCCAGGACAGTTCAATGTCCAAGTGGGTTCCATAGTAATGGGAAGAGGGACTGTCTCTGACATGAACTCAGTGGCCTGCTCTTTGATCACCTCCCCCTTAGGGGGAGCAGCCTTACCAGGCCACAGAAGAAGACAATGCATCCACTCCTGATGAGATCTGATAGACTAGGATCAGAAGGAAGGAGAGGAGGACCTCCCCTATCAGTGGACTTGGAGAGAGGCATGTGTGGAAAAGGCGAAGGGAAATAAAGTCAGTGGAGAATGAAAGTTTCTTACATGTTTTCTTTACGGTACATTATTGCTGGAGAGCATCACACAATCCATACTCTGACTTTTCTTCCTTAATCCGCGACTAAACTGAGTCCTACAGAGCTTACCCTCTGCTCACGATTATAAAGCAGTGCTCACATGTCATCTGCAAGTGTCCTCCTGAACTGCGGGAATTCTTTGAGATTATGGAAAGGGCAATCAGAGAAAATGCTTAGTACTCAATAAATGGCAGCAAAGACTTTTCTAAGGTATTTTGATGATGGATTTATTTATATGTTCATGGAGTATAATATAAATGATTATACCCACACACATGATCAAGCATCGTTAACCTCATTAACAAAAACATCGCCAAGCTACAGAATCCCATCCATCAACGTAATTAAGTAGGATGTTGTGCTGTTTATATCACATAAATACACACAGTAAAAATATAAAAATCATTTATGTGAAATGTATATACAAAGAATTTATATCTACTTCTAGTGTTTTATTATCTGGTTTTTTGTATAGATATTCAAGAATCATTGATAAAACTATTTCAAAGTAATTTGACAACAGTCCACAGTTACTCAAAATGCTTATTAGGACCAAAATAAATTGATATTGATTTGAGATGATGGTCCATAAAATAATCAAACAATAAATACTTTTTTTGTTTGTTTGTTTTTTAGTTGTTCATGGAGTCTATTTAAAATTCCATGCCCAAACCAAAATGTTAAAGCTCGGCATAGCATTATAGTTCTCTTTGTTTGCTTTTCATTGCTGTGATAAACACAATGATATAAATCATCTTGTTGAAGGAAAAGCTGATCACACCTTATGGCTTATAGTCATGAAGGAAAGTCAGAGCAAGAACTTAAGGCAGGAACCTGAAAGTAGGAACCAAAGCACAAGCCATGAAGGAATGCTTCTTGCTGGCTTGCTCCCCGTGGCTTGCTCAGCCTGCTTTCTTTATACAACACACGGTCATCTGCCCAGGAATGACACTGCCCACAGCAGGCTGGGCCCTCCCACACCAGTCACCAGTTAAGAAAATCTTTCACAGATTTGCCTTCAGGACAATGTGGTAGAGGCATCCCTCTATCATTTAAAAAAAAAAAAGTCATCAAACATAACGGACAATACCACACACCACAAGGGAAAAAAACAAACAAACATAGTTTATAATGCTAAATAGTGGATATCCCTAATGTCACTTAGTGCAACTTAAAATACAGCATCTTCTACTTGAGATTACTTTAATAGCTGTAATTCTTATTTTTAATCTGTTCCCTAAATTTAATAAAACATGGCTGTAAAAATAAACATGATTACTTTAATTATCAAATTTCACCATATAAGAAGAACTTCCATTGGTCTCTGTCTATCAAGTCACTTTGGAAAATCATGCAGATAAGTGCCCTTCACACATGGTGCAAGATGATTGGCTCTCTATAAATGGCAGTGTTGCCAAAGATGAATGCCTGTGCATGGACCAACGATTTCCAAAGTGATCATATTCATCATGGGCATGGTTTCTAAGAACAAAAGCAGATAACCCCAACAGAAAAGAACACAAGGTATGTACGTGTCTGAGGCCTTTTCTTGAATAGGCAACGTGGGTCTCCACTAGCAACTTCATTGCTCTTGAACTACTCTGTTGGCCATGT